CCCCTAACGAGTGGTTTGTGTTTCTTCAGAATCGAAAAAATAATAAGGATACTTTTCCTCTTGTGCTTTTCGGGGTTTTAAGGATTAGCTTCCGCCTCTTCAAATTCAATGTCATCCCCAGCAAAATCAGTGAAACTCTGGAAATGTTCAACTAGCTCCCCAAGTAGAATTATATTGTCATCATCAACCAACAACATTAGTTTTGCCTGATCATTTTAGATTCATCAACATCAAATGATAGAGCAACATCAGCTACAACCTTACCTTTATACCTAAAATCATCCCCTTTTACATGCTCTATGTAAAAAAAGAACATAATTTATTGTCATAAGTAATAAATTACAAATTTGGTTACTTCCAGCACCGAAATACCTATTGTCACCAGAACGATGTTCTTTGGGAAATCGATGAATACCACTTTTCATAACATTATTTACAATAATATGTATAACTATATTTGATCCAGGACATTGAAAAGATAGAGGTATTTGATTAGTATGTAACTTAGACTTAGAAGCAACCTAACGTAATTAATCTACCGAAGTTGATATCATTACTTATATCTACACCAAGCATGCGTAGTCTGGAGCAATATATTGCAGAAATCCATCGATACGCTGCCATTAGCCTCCACCAGAAACTGACACTCGAAAAAAAAAGTCTTATACATATTCATTTTTCCAGTATACGAAAACTATCAAAATGGGTTTCAGCAATAGAAGAACAAAGACAAAGAAATATATTCTTGTGGAAGAACAAAGAACTCACAAATACTCTTCTTTTACTTCTTCGGAACTCCATTCCGGAATGACCGTACAAACCTGACTTCAGTCTGGAATACGTTTTTTTTGTCCAAAACGTACGGGTATCGGATTCTGGACCCGATACCTACTAACCACCATCAACTGCGGAATTAACATAACTGCTCCGAAATACTATATTCCAGAGTAATTGATCATCTTACAAAAATTATAAGAAATTGATTATTGATATGAAATTACTCTTATTAGTCAGTTTGTCATATTCTACTGATCTATTTGATACAATGCAAATCAATCTTGTATTGCTTTTCCAAAAAGTGCACAATTTTAGTGGTGCAATGGGATTATTGGAATTGACATGTAGGAACGTGCAGTGTAATGTGGACAAGGACATCCTACCAACAAATAATGATATTTCGATCATTCAAAATGAGTAATTTTTACATAGTTTATCTAGATAAAAAAAATGATATTTTCGCTTATAAGATAATTTGTTTGACTCTAACTAAATTATTTAACATTAATTGTAAACATTATTAAGATAACAATCTTTGCATAATTATCCTATCATCTGTTTTTAATTCTAAAAAGAATATATTCATCAATTTAATTAATTTTTGATGAAAATTAAAATCAATGGTATCAAGGTTATCAAGATCGAAATCTTAGTTAATATCGTTTTACGTTTTGCAAGATCATGATCGTAAAATCGGATCGGAATCGAAAGATCGTACCAAAATGAATTCATATTCAATTTTGCTTGCAAGACGTCGATAATGGAATAAGTTTAACTTCTTAAGAAAGAACCATAATTATTATTTTTTTGCAACAAAGCATAAAACTAAGAAAAAAACATCTTAATTGAAAAAAAAATGTTTTCATAATGCACAACTAAAGATGTAAGATCACATAGAGATTATTATGAGTGTGTTATGCATAATTCGAGATTTATTGATGAAATGATTATGTTTTACAAGACTTTTTGCAACTTGTGATGCTCGATTTTAATTTGAATAGACGAATTCTTGAGACTCAACTACATAATAAAACTAATGAGGTGCGATCGGGATCGTAGCGTGCTCGTGATCATTTTTTACTTGTGGATTTTAAAATCATAAGATCTTAAGATGAGAATCGGGATTTAAACAACCTTGAATATATGATTAATAGAATGTAAATGTCTGGTTGATAAATATGATATTACGAAACATATGGAAAAAAATTGTCACTGCATAGCTAAAAGAATGCATAATATTTTATTAATATTATTATGTTTTCAATGTTTGCCTTTTAAAATCGACACTCTTGTTATTTTCAATATGATATACGTAACTGATGGATCATATAAATATATTTTAATTTTTATAAATATATGTCAATTCTTTGACCAAATCCGTAAATGCAATAATAATAATAATAAATTTATCATACCAATATAGTTGTAGATCTTTTTCGAAAATTAAATTCATTTTATAAAAACAACTTTATATTTTTTATATAAATTATCGGAAAAAACCAGACTTTGCCCTGGGCCGGTTTTTGTGTTTTTTATGAAAAAATGTAAAAGTTTTGACTGTAAGGACCAAAAGTGTCATAATGGCTAAAGAATTAAAGAGGGTGGAATTAGCAAATTTTTAGAAAATGGACCAAATTTGTCAATTCCTTAAAGTTTTGTGGCCAAACTTTGAATATTAAAAGGTTCCTAAAAAATATAAAAACTTTATTTGCAAAGACCAAAAGTGTCAAAATGGCTAAAGAATGAGAGGCAAAGTTGACAAAAAACATACAACCTTACTATTCCTAACTCTAAACTTTTGTGGCCAAACTTTGAATATTAAAAGGTTCTTAAAAAATATAAAAACTTTATTTGCAAAGACCAAAAATGTCAAAATGACTAAAGAATAAGAGGCAAAGTTGACAAAATCATACAACTTTCTATTCCTAACTCTAAAACTTTTTTAATATATATTAATAATAATAATAATATCTCAATATCTATAAGTTAAAGTACTATTCAAACACTATACCAATATAACAATTCTATTTAATTAATAAACACTAAAATCAATAACTTTAAAAATAGTATTTAATTAAACAAAATGAAACACTTTAAATAGTTTTGACTTTACGTTATAAAGTAAAATACTATAAAAAATACATTCTTTTAAGAAAGAAACTACTGAAATTGTTATTAGTTTTTCTTAATTTTTTTTCCTTTGCAGACCGTTTTTATAATTTTATTTTGTTTTGTTTTTCATCCTTATTTGATACAAAAAAAATACTATACTACCTTTATATAT